CAGAGAGATGAAGCACCTGGCTCAAGATCACACACTATTAAGTGCCAGGAGTGGAGTTGAAATCCCCTTTTGGCTCAACATCTATTATCCTTGTCCCTATGCCTCAGGACCACCAGTTTCTAAAAGTCCTTTTTCTGCGGTCTAGGTCGATCACACTTTCCCATAGGGCAGGAAGGATACACCAGTGCAAAGTTACTTGGACTACTCCTTCTTCCCATAATGTATTACTGTAACATGAATTTATCCAAAAAATATATTTATTGGCCACCTGTACTAGGTGCTAGGAAAAAGCAAGCAAGCAAGCAGATAAAAATCTCTGCTTACCATCTAATGGGAGAAGACACATAATACATGAAATAAATAAAGCATAGAGTATGCTAGATGGCGGTGGGTGCAACGGAGAAAAATAAAGCAGGAGAAGGAGAGTATTTGTTGGGGAAAGGGCTTCAGTGGCTGTCTTCAGAAAGAACATTCCAGGCAGAGAAAATAGTAGGTGCCAAGACCCTGGGGTGGAGGCATGGCTGAAGGTGGTGAAATGCAAGGAGGCTAGTGTCGCTGGCAGAGCGCCATCAGGAGAAAGAGGGGCAGATGATTTCAGAGAGTTATCAGGGGCCCTGATCATGGAGAGCCTTATAGCCCACGTAAAGACTTTGGCTTCTACTCTAAATAAAATGCAAAACATTTGGACATTTTGTGCAGAATGACATGATTTGTATTGCCTTACATTTTATTTTTTTTTAATATTTTATTTATTTATTTGACACAGAGAGAGATAGCGAGAGCAGAAACACAAACAGCGGGAGTGGGAGAGGGAGAAGCAGGCTTCCCACAGAGCAGGGAGCCCGATGCGGGGCTCGATCCCAGGACCCTGGGATCATGACCTGAGCCGAAGGCAGACGCTTAATGACTGAGCGACCCAGGCGTCCCTTGCCTTACATTTTAACACAGTTATGAGAATAGACCGAACAGGGGAGAAAGAGCAGGGAGACTAAAAAAGAAAGCTTTGACAAGGGTCTCAGAGAAAGAGAGTGATGGTTGGGGCAAGGTGGTAGGACTGGGGGTAGGAATTGGATTCTGAGTGCTGATAGAACAAACAGGATAGACGAGTAGGGTGGGGGCTGAATCGTGGGGTGAGTGCAGAGGACAGAGAGAGTCCTGGGCAGGAAGCCTGGGGTTCCCAGCTGGAGTTTCAGCCCATCTCATGGTTACAGTGTTACCTGAGGAAAAGTCACTGAAGAGCTTGGGGCCTCATTTTTCACACCGAGAAAAATGGGCTTTGACACGTTCCTGATCGCACAAGGCTCAAAGGAATGTGATGCCTGGGCAGAAGTTTGCTTGCTTAGAAATGAACCGCAGCTCTGTGTGACCTCGTGCAAGTTCGTCTGCCTGAGCAACTGTGGCGGGGAGACTGAGGTCAAATCTGGAATATCGTGGGGGCAAATATAAAACCCCCAAACAAAAGACATTACAGTTGTGAGGAATTAATTTAGGGAGTTTATTTATTTATTTATTTTAAAAACTCGGCAATGGTTTCTTTTTTGTTTGTTTGTTTGTTTGTTTTAGATTTTATGTATTTATTTTTAGAGGGGGCCCCACTCATGAGCAGGGGGAGGGACAGAGGAAGAGGGAGAGCAGCAGACTCCCTGCTGAGCATGGAGTCCCTCACGGGGCTAGATCTCATGACCCTGAGATCACGACCTGCACCTAAATCAAGAATCTGACCCTCAACCCACTGAGCACCCAGGCGCCGCTAGGGAGCTTTATTTTTAAAAAAGTTAAATCTCTTCCTTGGAAGGCTAAGAATAGCCATAGAAGAAAGTTCGTTTGTAAAAAAGAAAACTGTTTTAACCAAAGCTTTATGATCCCTAGTTACAATATGGATTTTGTACTTTTTGAACCTGCATTTATAAATGTTACCTGGTTGGTGATTAGTAAATTTTTACACACTCCCCCAAATTCTCATCTTCAGTTTTAGTTTTATTTAAGCACAAAGGATTTCTTTTGATTTCCCCTGTCTCTGAGGCAGGTTTAGCACCACCTTGGAATTTTTCTAAATTTTTACCAGCAACAGAACTACGTGATTGAATTATTTTAAGTGACTCGAATGTTTACAACTTTCCCAATCTTACATAAACAGGCAAAGCCCAAGCTGCCTCTTTCCAATTCACAAATACAAAAAAAGCACCCTTAACTGGAACATTCAGAATAAGTACAAAGGAGTTGGTGAGCCCTCCCAGAGGTGAGGGGGCAAGGGTCACAGGGCAATAAAGGTGTTTCACACGCATCCACTTTCTGGGGCAGAACCACGTGATCCGGGTCTGATCTGGGTCCCCCCTTCCTCCTCCTGCCTCCATTGGCTACGACCCTCCCAGGTCTTGTCCATCATAACCTACTATTCGAAGTCCAAGTCTCTCAGTATCCTCCAAGGTAACTGAGAAGCCATTTCGTAAGCCAATTGAATTGAATTACAAGTGTACCTTGCTTTACTGCACCTCACAGATACTGTGTTTTTTACAAATTGCAGATTTGTGGCAACCCTGCCTCGAGCAAGTCTATTGGTGCCATTTTTCCAGAAACATTTGCTCACTGCCTGTCTCTGTGTCACATGTTGGTAATTCTCGCAATTTTCCAAAATTTTTTATTACCATTCTATTTGCTAGGTGATCTGTGATCAGTGGTTATGATTTGCTGAAAGTTCAGATGATGGTTAGCATTTTTTAGCAATAAAGTATTTTTAAACTAAGGTACGTACATAGTTGGTTTTTTTTTTTTTTAGACATAATGTTAATGCACCCTTAATAGAGTACAGTATACTGTCAACATAACTTTTATATGCACTGGGAAACCAAGAAATTCATCTGAGGTGTTTTATTGTGATATTTGCTTTTTTGCAGAGGTCTGAAACCAAACCCACAATATCTCCAAGGTACTCCTGTATTAGTGATGAAGAAGGATTAGCCCTCGGGCTCTCTGCAATAAGTTATGGCGAAATAATAGAATGCTTAGGCATTGTAAAGATATCTGTTTAATAAGGAGTCTCTTTGGGAAAGACTCATGAAATCTTCTCATAATGTGGTCTCCTTCTTTGCATATACTTTAAATGATCAGTCTTTAATATTGTCCCTGAGACCATTTCAGGGGGTCCACAAAAGTCAAAACTATTGTTCACAGCAACACATCATTTGCCTTTTTTACGCTCATTCTCTCACAATCGTGATGTGGAACTTCCCAGAAACTATGTGATGTGTACTGTGGACATCATTCTGATGGCTACGAGAATGCATGCTTGTATATTTTTGTTTTTAAAATTCACAATGTGAATTTTAAATGTGAAAGTTTCGAATGTGGTAAATATCAGCAAACACTTCTCTTTACAAGAAACTCTCTGGGGTTCTCAATAATGTTTTTAAGCACGTTCTAAACTTTTGAGAGCTACTGCTTTAGTTATCCTCCCTGATCTGGCAGCTGAAATACCAGGCAGGGTGGTAGCTCTGATTAAATTCAAAACCAGAGTAACTTAATCAGTTTGCAAAGGTTGATATCTAAAAGCAAAATCAAAAGAACATATACAAGGAAGTGCTCCAAACTGACCAGGTCATGTCCAAAGCACAGTTGGCAACCTGACGGAGCTCTCACTGGCCAGATCGGGGATATCTGATTTGTGACTTTGTGATTAATCAGAAATGTCAGTGGCATCTTCTGGTGGGTGAGAGATAGAGGAGAGAGGAGGGTTTCACACAAAGGGGGAAAATCTAAAGATTATCATTAATGTCCACATTTCCCAAAAGAGTGTCGTGAACCAAATATTTAGATTTGACACTTTTAATCATTCAGTATCTTAATACAAATATAAGAAATAATACAGATTTAAATAACATATGAAAAGCTTACTAAATATACAAATATCCAATTCAACAGTGAAAACAACTTAAGCTTTAGTTCTTAGGTCACTGAGTAGAGACAAGAAAGCAAAAGATACTGAAAAAGTCAATAATTTGGTCTTATGATTTTTAAGAGTTCAAAAATGTTCCACTAGTTAGAACAATATAATTTAGAACAAAGGGATTTCTAAACCCAAACATACCTTCTCTGCTATTATGAGAAGTTAACTCATGGGAAAAGAAGCCAGGAGGGAGAAGCATTTGAATTGACTTTGAATTCGAAGCTTCCTAAATGCCTGTTTTTATTTTATCATGTATTTTCTTTTGATTTCACAATGACTGGTATAGGACCAGATCCTATTATAAGTCAAATGGGACAGGAAATGCTTTTTTTAAAAACGTGAGCTGCTGGGCTAACAATATTCTTCTATACAAGTAGATAAGTAAAGTTAAGGTTGTCAATGTTATTTTGCAATGAATTCAGTCCCATATTCATTGTGGTAAACGCCAGTCAGAGGAGGACATGAAGAACTGCAGTGAAACCAAGGATTCTAGAAAGACCAGTTACTAACAAACCAGTCAGCAGGTAGTGGACTACCACCACCACATGAGGAGGAAACTGACTCGTGGACCTAAGAACAATATGGAAGAAGAGATGGAACAGCAACAGAAAGGTAAAAGGTAGTCTCAGAAAAGTTCTTTGGTCCTTAACACCTTCCCGTGTTCTCCTTTCTCTTTTTCCTTTCTTGATTCCTTTTTTTCCTGCAATTACATCAGTTTTTGGAGCAGAATGGCAAACGATCTGGTCCAACTTCCTAATTTTCTGGATGCGGGTGTGGATGCTCATTGAGATAAAGTGATGGACAGAGCGTTGCCCTCGGTTGGAGCCAGAGTCAGCCTCTGAGTTGTGGCTACTGATTCAAAGTCCAGTCTCCTTTCAACAGCACAACACTGCATTGCTTCACAAAATCAAGTCCTACAACAGACTTGAGAGGTAAAACGACTTCCTTTTGGAACTCTCACAAGCACTGGGTAGCTTAGATGGCAGTAGAAATCTTGAAATTCTTAGGTCTTTTACCCCTACCTCTTCTGCTCTTTATGTCCCTCAGAGAATGACCCTTTTCCTCCTGCCTTTCTTCTGAGTCGGATTCAAGTAGACCAGGGAGTAAATTTTCCAGGTTCTGTGTGATTTCCTCTAGGGCTCTGGATAAAAGAAAGATCAAGATATTAACTTCCAACATTTATAATGTCTATCCTAACACATTTGAAGAAGATACATAACAGAAGTGTCAATAAGCATAGAACACACCTGTGCATATTTCATTGGCAAAGATAAGGACATTCCTGACCCAATGTGATGTGGGGAGACCATGACTCTCTCCAAGGGACGTAGGTAATTCTAGGAAATAATCTTTTACAGAATCACTTAGGACTACAAGTAAAAAAAAAAAAGAGAGAGAGAATTCCAAATAATCTACATGTATTTTATTTATAAGACCTTGAGCTTTGCTCTCTGTGGATACTAACTCACTGGACCTTGGGCTGGGAATGGTCACAAAGTAGACCCATGGAGGGCCTTTCCAGGGCTATCAGGTTTCTCGCACCTAAACTGAAAGGATGTGGACCTCCCTACAAGGCAGGCAAAGACCTGGGATTTTATCTTGGGGCTACCTCTCATTCTCTGTGTAATCTTAAGTAATTCTTTACCAGAAACTGTAACATTTTAAACCTGCCAAAATTCCAGTACCTGCTGTCTGTGGTAAAAAAAAAAAAACACAGAACAGCTCAGGCAAGAATGCCCAGGCTTAAGGTTCTGCTAGTGAGTGACTGTGTCATCTGGTCGTGACATTTTGGTATGATGGATGGCATCTGCCCCCATTCAAGGGTAAACTCTTGTAGAAAAATACGTTGGAATGGAAGATTTCTCCCAGCAGTTTTGACCTAAGCAGTCCAATAAAGGTTGCCCCACACTTTTCTTGTATAAAACACCCCATTTCTTCAGCTTAGAGCTATGAGGAAACTGGGGTAGGGGTGCTGGCTACCACCCATCTAGCCTGCCTCAGGGAGATGTTAAGTACAATTATTACGCAAAGCAAAGATTCTTATTATTTTAGAAACAAATACTCTTTGTATTGTCCTTCTAACCAGTCACCAATTTCACCATCATAAATTGTCCTTTGGGCACTTTTGTTATTTGATAGAGTACTAAGCTTAAAATAGAAAAAAATGGCGGGGTGCCTGGGTGGCTCAGTCGGTTAAGCATCTGCCTTCGGCTCAGGTCATGATCCCAGGGTCCTGGGATCGAGTCCCACATCGGGCTCTCTGCTTTGCGGGGAGCCTGCTTCTCCCTCTCCCCCTGCTCTTCTCTCTCTCTCTCTGTCAAATAAATAAAATCTTAAAAAAGAAAAAAATGGCATGATTCTACCCAGAACATAGTGTTTTATTAACACTGCCATTATCATTGAAAGAGCCCATTTACAGGTTACATTATTATGAAGTGAAGTGAAAGAATTCAGGGTAATTATAGATAATGTGGGCAAGAAAAAAAAACCACTTTGCTATGAAATAGCTAGACACTTGAAGAAAAAGTGAAATCTGGCGTGTGCATTTCATATGAATGTCTAAATTTTCTACTGTTTGCCAATTCTGCCTTGACTCAATCAAACAAAAGAAAACTAGTACTCAAAAATTTCAAAAACTGAGGTGATTATCTGTCTATTAAGATCTGCCCCAAAGTGAGGTGAGTTTTTGAGAAGCATGTAATCATTGGTGGGTTGACTAATGAGAAATAAAAGGCTATTCTCAAGCTCAAATTTAATTTCATTGTGGAAGGGGCACATTTATGACATCAACTGGGTTTTAATAGCAAGAACTAATATAGAATGGTGGAAAATTTCCCTAGGAAATTTTATTTTATTTTTTCACTTTCTATTTTAGTAATAAAGTACTGGATTCACGAAAGACAAAGGAAAGAGGCTGTTCTTTGAAAACATATCAACCTATTAATCAACCTATTATCTTACTGATGTCGTTTCATGGGAAGTAACTACAATGATCCCACCAGGACTGATACAAAGAGAAATTGCCTCTAAGTCATCATACCTTCCTCCAGAGGTATTTCACCTTCACTGGTGAAAAGAACACAACCATTTTCTGGCATTAAACAGAATCACAAGAAAAAGTGATTTTTCTACAAAAGTGACATCATCATTAGAGATCACTCCTCTATCCCAAAACTATAAATTTGCTTGTGCTTTTGTGAGCAATGAATAAGTGATTTTGATCTAAATAGACTTTGTTGTTGCTGAGTCACACTTACTTAACTAGATTTGTCTTACCATGGGGCGGCTCCCTGGAGAGGATTCTTTTCTACTCACATTCAGTGAGTTCAAGAATGAATTCATCAAGAATGAATTCATCCCTCCTCCCCTCCTTCTCTCTCCATGAACTTGAACACAAGCACACACACACTCACACACATTCAGTTCCCCTTTTCACTTCCTTATTTCTGAGCACATCACCATTGTTCCAGTCACTGGGATCAGAAACTTGGTGTCATTTTTGACTGATCATGTTTTCCTGCCCATCCAAAAGTTTTAGGTGTTCAGGAGATGATGGAAAGAAAAAGAGAAAAAAAAAAAAGAAAATCCAAAGTAAGGAAGGGTAAGGAAAGAGGAAGCAAATGTAGTAGGTCCATTGGCTTTCATCACAAATTGATAATCAGGATTTGCTACTTAAAGAAATTTAAAATGTCAACATCTTCTATGGTTTTCTTCCCTTTCGCCCAACTTTTGTTATAACTTCAGTTTTGATCTTGAGTGTTTAAGTCTCCAGCATAACCGACACTTTGTTTTACTAGCTATTTAAGTAAATGGGACCAAATCATCTGGCTGTTAAAATATTTGAAACCAGAAAAAAAATTCAGCCCCCCAAAATGTGCCACTGAACATTCAATGTAATTAACTGATTTGGCCGTATGTCATGAAGACATCATCAGTAAATGGCAATCCCAGTGCTTGCAAGATTCTGTAGAGGTTCAGGTGTTTATTTTCATAAATGAGAAAAAGCCTAGAAACAAAGATAAGCTGACTCCCTTTGCTTCAACTAGAAAAGACATTGAACAATGATGTTTCCCAGAAAACCCAAGACTTACTTAATGAACAAAGGACAATTATTTTGCAAATGCCCAATTCTAGTGGAATTTACCTTGGGCTTGAATAGATTGTATTATAAGATTCTTGTCCAACAGGGACTTTTTAAGATGAATTTGAACACTTCATACTTCTTTCCTCACGCTTTCCAAAAGAGTACAACAGTAACAGCAAGCTAGGATTAAAATACATGCAACCCAATAATGCCTTTCAAGTCAGGACTCCAGGGCATCATAGCTGGAAGAACGTTCTGGCAGAGGTCAGCAGACCAAAACCAGCGTTCTAGTCCTAAGCCTGTTGTTAACTAGCTGTGCGACCTTAGGGAAGGAAGTCAATTTCTCTCTCTGGCTTCAAGTCCTAATGGGAAAAATGAAATGTTTGGATAAAGTAAAATCAAACAGCCTACTGCCTCTGACATTCTGCAGAGCACTAATGAATTCTATGGGCTTATGTTTATATGCAATAAAATTATCTGATCTGTAATTTCCTCTTCCCATCGAACAGACACTTTTATCTACTTTTGCAAAAGGGTCATTGACACTGAAGATTTGTTGCTTTTCTTATAAAATCACAAGAATTAATCTGGTACTTGTATAAGGCTTACGCAAAATTAAGTGTTCAAAAAACCTACAACATGAAAGATAGCTTACGATTTAACTTTAAAAAACCAACAGTTTTTTTCTTCCCTATCTTTCAGTCATCCGAGATGGAAAAAATTCCCATATCAGCCTTTCACCCTTGGAAATCCCCATCACACACACCATAAACTGAAGCTTTGCATTAACTTTAATAAATTATGCACTGCCTCCCGAAAACAAAAAAATTTAAATCTCTCTCTCTAGCTGACTCCTCTTGTTTTATAGCTTCTCATTTTATAGTATCTCCCAAGGTTTTAGACTCAGCATTTATGAGGTACTGAAATTACAATAAGAAAAAGAGAATTGAAAATGTCACTTTGAAAATCTTATCTATCTGTCCATCCATCCATCCATCCGATTCATTCACTGTCTTAATGAAAGTTTATTGAGAACTTCATATACATAAGACACTGTGATAGATGTTGTAGGGACAGAAAAAAATTTATAGTCTATAAGGACAGAATGACATGACGGAGTTAATAAGTGTAGGTCACCTGTAAGCTGCCTATAGTATTTGAGGCATAGTAGGAGTATAACATAGAAAATACTATTTAATTAGTGAGTATACTGGACAATTTCAGAGTCTCTTACGTGGACTAGCTGGCCCAGGGAGCGCTCGCTGTAAAAGGAAAAGAGACTGTCCTTCTTGTTAATGGGTAGAAGAACATAGTGTGGGTACGGAGACTTCTTTCTCCGGTGTGGCTGTCAGCTGACTCTACAGGGATTGGACATTGTCTACATTTCCTCTCATCGACCCTTACTCTCAACTTACAAATAATTAGCCATTAAATGATTGTAGCAAATAAAAAGCAGAAACATCCAGTTTAATGTCCAACTGCTAGAAAATGACCCCAAAAGTGTTCTAAAACACCAGCAACAACAAGCAGGACACATTGTTGCCATCCCTTATTTACATCTTCCTGTACTCTCCACAGTGCTATTAAAAAAATCATTTGTTTCCTTCTTTGTACTTCCTATGATAACTTACCTCGGTCTTGGTTCCGACGACGTTTCCAGTATAGTAAGATGGAGATTAAGACCAGAAGAATTACCAAGGAAACAATGCTTAACAAGAGCGGAACTGAAAACCAAAATCCTATAGACGGTGAAGGGGGGAAAAAGGAGAAACAAAGTCATAAGCAGAAACCATTGAGGCAAAAAGTGATATAAAGCAATCGTTGTGATGAGTTTTTCCTAGAGTGGAGCTTTCGATGAAAATTATCCTCAAATATATACCTATTGATGTCTCCACTCATGGTTTCATATTATTTCAATAACATTTAGTTAATAATAATCTAACCACGTTTTCTGTGGCTACTATCTCATAAGAGCTTTGAATGTGTTATTTCATTTAATCCTCAAAACAACCCAAGAGTTAGGTATTATTATCATCATCGCACATATAAAAACAACAACAACAACAGCAGAACAAAAAACTGAGGCTCAGAGAAGCTAAGTAAGCCCCAAATCAGCGTAGTAAGGGGCAGAACCAAGGCTTGGTCAGAGGTCACAACCCATTAAAATAATATATTTATTGAGGAAGTTGTGGAAAATACAGAGACATATAAAGGAAAAAAATCATGGATTTCATGATGCCAACCCCAGGAGTAACTCATCTCAATGTTTTTATTGTATTTCTTCTAATCTGTGTCTTTGTTATTAAACCTCTTTCCAACAGTCAATAAACGCAGCCCCTCAGTGTCACTCCGCAATCCTACAGCGGGGGAAGAGCTTCCTGATTTGGGAGTTTCCAGCATCTTCCTCATACTTCTGTAACAGGATTTCTCACATCATAATTCAACCAAGCCCCTTCAGACAGAGATGTGTCTAACTTCCATGGTTCCAGTGCTTGATAAATGCTTGAAGCATGGAAGACTTTCAGTAAATGCTCGCAGAGTAAACAAACATTACACAAACGATGTATAAACATTATAAACGACGTAAGTCGATTCTGGCATTCTTGGACAAGAAGACATGTTCCTTTTCAGGTTCTTGCTTTTCAGGGAAATTTACCCTCTGCCTTGGCTGAAAATGAGGATCTCTTCACAAATGTCCAGATCTAACACTACAAATCTTTTGCCCAAAATTACCTAAATGTTGACTTTTTGATTAGTCTGTGTTTTTCAATAACCCCAAAAATGACTATAGGAAATGTTCCCTAGAGGCAACCACATCAATAAGGCATTCAGGGGAAAGTTTTCCCAGGCTTTAGTGCTTAAAATGCTCCCTGGAAAAAAAGCATCAGTACCTTTGTAGGAGGCTTATTAATGAGAGCCTCGTCCAGAGCTGATGCTTTAGCCACACAGATAAAGAAAACCGTGGCTATTCCCAAAGCATCTTGCCTAAAACTGCCGCTCCCTCTCTTCTCCCGCCCACAGGCCTCACTTCCTGTGTCCATGAGGCCCAGAGCTAGCAGCTTAGAGAGAAACACAAGAAAGCAAAAGCAGTCTTGCTCAGGATGCAGTTTGTTTCAAAGGGGTGAGGAAAACATCCTCACATTGGCCCCTTTCTTAAAAGCTCTGTGGCCCTGTTCTACAGCGCAGAGGATGCAAAGCCTTCCTCATGGACGTCACTTCTTCCAGGAAATCTTCCTGCTCCCTCCAGACTGAGCTGATCCTCTCCTCCCCACTCTCAATCCTCCTGGATGCAGCGTAGCTTTCTTCCTGAAGCATTTCGCACGCAGTTGTGTAATTGCCCGTTGTGTTATCCGCAGTAGAACAGAAGCTTTCTGAGCACAGGGACTGAGTCTTGCTTACTGTCGCACTTCAACAGTCCCAACACCTGGCACACAACAGACACTCAGGAAATGTCAGCAGCATGGAAAGCTAAAGGCATGGATGGATCTCAACAAAAGCGTTTGGTATGTGGGCAACATACAACAGTTACCAAAGTAAAACTGGTTTTACTGGTTTCCTCAACTCTGTTTTTCTTTCCCCACTTACTCCATTCTCTCTCTTATTAGCTCCTTGGCTAAGAGGCCAAGAGGCTCTGCAGAACATTCACCACTTTCCAGTTGTGTGTACACAGATGCAACCACAGCCTTCTCTTACCTTTATTTTTTATTTATTTATTTATTTTTGACAGAGAGAGAGAGAGAGAGAGCGAGAGCAGGAGCACAAGCGGGGAGTGGGAGAGGGAGAAGCAGGCTTCCCGCCGAGCAGGGAGCCCGATGCGGGACTCGATCCCAGGACCCTGGGATCATGACCTGAGCCGAAGGCAGACGCTTAACGACTGAGCCACCCAGGCGCCCCTTCTCTTACCTTTATGCACAGTTTGCGTGACGCTGGTCACATTCCCCAGGTGCAGCACCTGGCAGACCACCTCCTTCCCCACCTGACGCTTGGGGTCTTTGACCTGGAGAACGCTCGTGACAGACGTGGTCCCATTGGGGTGAAAGAGAACCTCAGTACTGTTTTCAATCTCTGACCCAGACACCTTCCAGGAGATCACAGGGGCTGGGCGGGCATTGGCAGAGCAAGTGATATTTAGGTGGTCTTCGAAGAATTTATAGTGAAGGAACACTGTGGGCTGTACTGGGACAAAAAAAAAAAAAATGATGGTCTGCCATCAGTTAAGCCCCACATTCTCCTCAGAGGAGGAAGGAAGATCTTTACAGAAAGACACTGGGGGCTCAAGGGATAAGGTGGCACATCCAATCCAAAGTGGGGCTCCTCAGTTCTTCCTGTGTCTAATCCTCTGGCTGGCAGGATGGAAACTGGCCTAAGACAGCCCTGTAACAAGAAAAATCCTCTCCATAGTTTGTCTGCAGGGGGATTAGCTGAATGGGGCGGGGGGGGGGGGGAGGGGATTCTTCTTTCTCAAACGATCCAGAGCCTAATATTCTGTTCTCCATTTCCATGGGCAAGGCAGCATCTCTGGCTTCTTCTGGGTGTCCCTCTCATAGTCTGACAATGGTCACCCGTCAGCATGGCCATAGAGGTAGGCTGTACTTCTCAGAAGCCCCAGGGTGGTTTCAGACCAGAGAGCCCGCAGAGGGAGTGCTTAGAGATGGCCTTTCAGAGCTGGACCAGGAATGAGATGCGAGGAGGAGACTTGGAAAGTCCCTGCTTGGAATATCTACAGAAAATGTAAATTAGAAATTCACTGCTGATAACCAGAAAATCACAGAATGACAGTTGAAAGGACCTTGGAGATCACCTGATAGAATTAAGACAAAATAGTTTATGAGAAAAGCACATTATTTTAGTCCAGCTGTAACCCTGTTCCCTTTCAAAAGTCCCTTGACCAGTGAATTCATTTTCATTGTGTACTTTCAATGTGCAGTTCATCTCTACTGAGCAAACACGAGCTGGCTTTCCTGTGGTTACTCTGAAGCCTACAAGATAATTAAAGGGCAGTAGCGAAAGGAAAACCTGGTCTGTGTTTAGAGGTTCAAGAGGTGGGTGGGTGGCAGTGGGTTGGAGGAAATGGGCCCAGAGGGACTGTGGCTTCTTCCAAAGAATACCCAGATTACTAAAGTCGATGGGCACTACGGGAAGACAGATAAAAGTGAAGGAAGAGGAGTATGGTTGACATGGTGAGACTGGGTGGCAGGGTTCTCTGGTACATCCAAGGAAGCTATAGATGGAAGCTATAAGGTATGGCTGGAAATGATCCATGTGGAAAAGAACAGGATTACTATCCAGAAAATTCAGGGGAGTTTGGTTTTCAGGTAAAAAATAATACAAAAGTTTATGGGTAAAGGAGGGTAAAAAAAAGAAAGATGAGAAAAAAAGAAAAGAAAAAGTAATAGAAATGAAAAAAACATCCACAAGAAGGAAAAAAAAGACAAGTGAGGAGGTAGGAGGAAGGAAGGAAGGAAGGAAGGAAGGAAGGAAGGAAGGAAGGAAGGAAGGAGAAAAATGGAGAGGAAAGAAGGAGGGAAGACTGGAGGGAGAGGAAAGAGGAAAAAGGACAGGGAGACAAAGAGACAAAGAAAACAAAAAAATAGAGTCAAGAAGAAAACCTGACATAAGATCCTGCAGAGAGGACTCATTATAGGCAAAATAAGTGAAAGAAACCTTGTTTTGTTTTGTTTTGTTTTCCTGTTGCCATACCTCCCTTGCACTCTCGTTTACTGATCCTCCTCTTACCCCATGTCCAATATTCTTGGTGTGCTCAAACTCTCACTTTAACATTCCTGATAACCCTGTCTAAATTTCTCTTTTCCCTTCTAAAACTACCACCAAGTGTGCCATGCTCCAAAGTTACCCCTTATTCCCACTTCTCAATTCTCGATCCCAGCTATGTGTCAGTTAAACGGAAAAGAAACTTGTCAAACTAAGCCTCTTGGATTGTAAAAGAATGCTTATTATCCAGTTAAATACCTAGTTGACTGCAGGTATGAAGAGCCTCTGAGGTATATCCCAAGAGAACTGTGTTGAAACAAAATGAGAGGGACCACCATAACTGGCTCTGGGTAGGCCCAATCTGGCTCTGTCCTCAGATCCAAAAGTGTTAAAGCTGTTAGAGACCCTACAGATGATCGATTTCATACTTACTGTGCAGATAGACAGACTCTGGTTCAGAGAGTGGGATAGGACGCTCCCAGGGTCACATGACTGCTAATGGCAAAGCCAGGTCTGAATCATACCACTACTTATGAAGAACCCATTATCCTCACCATGGTCCTTAATTTACTCTTGCTGAGAACACCATTCCTCAGAGCAAAGATAACCCCAGGCAGAGATTCAAGGTAGCCCCACGAACTTTCCAAATAACCATAAGCACAGTTATAACAGACATGAAAGGCTAAGTGTCTTCTCATGAGCTTTTCTGAGGTTCGGATCCTGAAAAACCAGGCACTGCTACCAGGTTCCAAACATTCTTGAAAATGCCATTTCTAGCCAGAGACAATGTATTCCCAGAGATTCTCACCAGAGAGGCTGAGGCAGGCTGTTCCTGAGATCTTCCCAGAACCAAAAGTATTGAAGAGGCACTTGTAACACCCTTCATCCTCCAGGGTGGTGTTCCAGAACGTAATGGTTGAGTTCTTGAGTTCCAGCTGGGTGATGTTTATCTTGTCTTTATAGGCAGGCTGGACCACAACCCCATGGTTCTTGCTGAAGGTGACCATGTTTTCTGGGCTAACAGCCTTGATTTTCTGCCATGTCACAATCAAGACTTCCTCGGAATTTTGCAGAGAGCATCTTAAGGAAGCAGGTGTGTTCAGCGGCTTTTTTTCATTTTGGGTCATGACTTTTATCATGGAATCATAAAAGAACATTTGTATTTTAAAATTTAATACATAAAAATACATATTTTTCTGATTTAAAAAATGCATGTTCAAAGTTAAACATAGAAAAGATAGAGAAAAATGCAAAGAAAACATTTACCTACATCCCTGATGTTGCTAGAGAAATCTAAGTTCAAATACGTTTATTCAATCTTTAAGAGTAACAGAGTAAAAAAACAAGAAAGCAAACTTTCAGTGACAGAAATTGTGCAAAGAATCCCTGTAAGCTGAAAGCAGGTAGAATGGGGTTGGAGATGCAAATTGCCAGATAGAATAGAAGCATCACCAGGAGTGTTCATGCCTAGAGGTGCAGAAGAAAGAAAGGGCCAACGGACAATTGGCAGAGTGATCCGTTTAGGTGAAGAAGATGTAACAGGCCTATACATTCCACACACACCCCCTATAAAGAAGGGTCAGCAATAGCAGTTTTTGCCTCCGGGAAGCAGTGGTGAATATAGGAACATAAAGTAGAAGAACATGCGGGACAATGCTTCAGGAGGCTACATAGTACCAGATGGCTTTGACAATCAAATAACAATTTACTACGCATTCCCACATTTTTATTTAATGCAATGCAGAATATAAGGCATGATAATAATTTCTTCCCCCGTCAATGCTGGCTACTCATATTGATATGAGAGATGATTCAATAGGAAATCTTAATATAATAACAACTAGGCAGACATTTGAGAAAGCTGACTCAATGAAAGAATAAACTCTACAAACCCAGGAACTCAAACTAAATGAATAAAGACATAATGAATCAAGAAGCACTTTGACGTGAATAAACATGATCTCTTAAGTATAAAAAGAAGCCAGCATTGTAAACAGTAGAAATTAGAGTTGTAGAAAATGACAAATATAAAATCTTAATGATTTGGCTGATTTAGCAGAATGGACATCACTGAAGGGTCAACTAGTTAAGTGTGCTTTTGTGCTACATTCTTCCCAGAATGTAGCACAAAAGCATAAAGATATGGAAAAAATTCAAGAAAAATTCAAAGACCTGGAATATTTCAACATCATCACTGAGACTTATAAGAAGGGAAAAGGAAGAATGGGAGACAAAAACGCTGTAAGGGACAAAAATGTATTTTTCAAAATGATAAAAGGAGCAATCTAAAATAAGATATATACATTATGAATCTTTATGTTGGGACACCTGGGTGGCTCAGTCAGTTAACCATTCAATGCTTGATTTCAGCTCAGGTCATGATCTCAGGGTCATGGGATTTAGCCCCACATCAGGCTCCGCACTCAGCAGGGAGTCTGCTTGAGATTCTCTCTCTCTCCCTCCCCCTCCATGTTCTCTCTCTCTCTGTCTCTCAAATAAATAAATCTTTAAACAAACAAACCTTTCTGTACCTAACAACATAAGTGAAACATATAAAAAGCCATAGAATTGAAAAGAAAAATTTTAAATCCACAAAAATAATGGGAGAGTTTTCCATAGTTTGCTCAGAATTTTCACTTCCACATATTAAAAAATACAGATAAAGCAAAAAGGTCAAATGTAAGGATGAGAAGATTTGAAAAATGAATATTTATATATAAATCATTATATATATAAATCATATGTGTATGTGTATATAGGTATGTATTTATAAACTTTTACCAAAAGAGAACATACAATCTTTACAAACATTCCCCCAAATTGAACTTGAAATAAAATGCAAAAAAAGCTCTTACCCTATGACCTTGAACACTGTCCACAATGTAATAAACAAGAAATTTACATACTTCTTTCAACTCTAATTACACCGGAAGTCATAGCAAGAATAATCAATTACTATAAATGACAAGGAGAATATAATGTATTAAAATCCGTAGAAACTGATAAAGCCATCTTCAGAGGGAAATATTTAATCTTAACTTCATTAGGAAACGAGAGATTGAAAAATGAATACACACGTATATTCAAACATCCCCCAAAAGATAAAAGGAGTGAATTCATATAGATAAAAGCACAAATTAATGCAATGGTAGACAACATGTAGACTTAATCAAAAACACCAAAATCTGTTTTTTTTTAAATGAATAACACAGAGAACACGTTGGCTAGTATCATAAAAAAAAAAAAAAAAGAAGCAATGTCCTCTCAGTGGCCCTTCAACAATGTCAAGGATGAGAAGGTAGGCATACCAACAGACACAAATTGGAACCCACGAGTATTGCAGAAGTGTAGTTGTAGGGAGGTGTACTCTTGGTAGATGTGAAAAGCTTTGGAGGCTATACCTGTTGTTGGGGTTTTCTGAAAGTTTGTTGAGATTTTGCAGAGCAGAGATTTGAAGAAATTGCTGCTTTTAGAATGGAGAGTAGAAAAGGAACCTGAGCTAGAGTTTTAACTTCTTAGGTGATTTTTCTATTTGACTAAGAAATAATCTAGTGGACAGTTTACAGTTCTTGGATGCTTCTATGGAATTCCATTTAGATTCCCCCAAGCCCGTTGGTAAAGCCTGTGCCATGGATGGTGGGAAGCCTGCCCTGTCTCCACCTGTGAAGGCTGATATAAAGCAACAGCACATGGAAGGTGATAGAAGGTCAGTGGCGAAGTGAGGGGTGGCATCCCATGGAACACAGGAGAAAGGTCTGGCACAACTAGGAAACTCAACAAATAAGTGGACAGCACAGGCGTATGCTTCATATAGACTGTGAACCTAGGTAACCTCTAGACTACATTATTTTCCATATTTTTCTGTAAAAGAGGGGGCATGCCCAATTTAAAGGCTTACTACCAGATTACCTTCTAAAAAGGGTATATATTCATTCATACTCCCCAAGCATTTCCATATCTTTATAAACATAGGGAATTATATTTAAATAATATGTAAAAGTCATTTGCTTTGATAGGTGAAAAACATCTTAATTTAGAAAGAATTTCTTCACATCTGGTTTTATCTATGGAAACAGTTTCTAAATAGTCAAAGCCTTTTTCCACTTCAAAAACAAAAATGTGTAAAGCAGAAAGAACCACTCCCATTCCTCTAAGCAAATTACATGTTTAAATAATTCATGCAGACAAATAAACTAGCACAGCACAAACAACACTAGCCAGATGTCTCCACTCCAGAAATTGTGCTCCCTGGACCCCATGCAGGGGAACTGGGTATCTTTTTACCTTGCGCCCTGCATAGCATCACTGCTGCCAAGAACCAAATCGGTCTGTAGGTAGACAGATGACAGAAGAGCCTCCTGAACACCTGAAGACAGAAAGCAAAGCAAAGACATGGGCATTTGCATGTGGACAAAAAGCTAAGGAACCTTCAATTTCATGGCTACCTCAGGGAATGCTGCAGCTCAAGTTTTAACCACCAGATAACTTTGGTTTTGTGGATGCAGCACTGCAGACGCTAAATGGAATAAATAAAAGAGTGTGCTCAGGATATGGGAAGGGAAAAGCAGCAGTATGGCTCCTCCATTATGGCAATCCCTAGCAATTTGAGACCGCGCTCTCAAAGCCACCATTGTCAAGAGCCAGGCCTCAAAGACGTGGGATGGTCGGGGAAAACAAACTGCCATAAATACACACAGAAAACACGGAGACTACAAATGCTTTCATCCACTTCCCAAAGAATCCACTTCTGTTAACATTAAAGACGGAACTCAGGGGGGACCACTTTGCAGAAAGATACAACTGCCTTGGAGTTTGCTGCAGTAGATTTCCCTGAAAATTCTGCAAATTTTATACGAATTGCCCCTTTTAAAAAACAGTAGTGTCCAGGGGCACCTGAGGGGCGCAGTCAGTTAAGCATTGGACTCTTGGTTTTGGTTCAGGTCATGATCTCAGGGTCCCAGGATCAAGCCCTGTCACCAGCTTTGCATTCAGTGCAGAATATGCTTGAGATTCCGTCTCTCTCTCTCCCTCTCCCTCTGTCCCTCCCGCTTGTGCGTGCTCTCTCTCTCTCAAATAAATAAATACATTTTTAAAAAAACAAACAAACAAACAGTAGTGTCCTTATTTTTTTTCTGCATTGCTTTGTTTTCATGTGTCCGGGAAGAAATCTTTGGCATTTTTACATGGTGACATTTAATTGGATGTTATTCTGGGTATCATTTTATTATAAAATGAGAGGGTGGATGTAGACAGACTAACTACAGTAGCCCCATGGATCCATTCACTTCCTCTACATGTGTGTGTTCATAAGGGTACAGGCAAGAAATGTAATTTTTCCCTGTATTTTTCTGTATTAGAGATGTGTAAGAAATGTAGGTCTCTCTGTATTTTTCTTTACCTGAGTTTCATTGTTATTTCATGTTGCCATTCCAACTAGAGGTAGAGACTTCACTGCAGTCAATATCACATCATCTCTGTCAATTCAGCCCCCTGCGACCCCCGCACTTCACAAGTGTCCCAATCCCTGGCATTGCATCTCCATTCTTGGGGGCTCACACAATGCCAAGCCATGGGACAGGGCTACTAGTCCTTGGTTACAACCATCTATCCACGGTAGCATTCTCTAAGATGGCTGTGTTCCCCTCCAGTCATCATGGTCATCGACTTGTGCAATTAAACCTTGCACTTAGAAAGTGTCTTCTCTCATTCTCTTTCGTTCTCCTGATTCCGTGCCCCTGGGTTGGGCAAAGGGAAATTCTACAAGCTCTCTGCCTAGACGCCCATTTATCTATCCATCTCTGTTTTACTCTTCCCTTGTCATGATGAGGAGGCTGGTCTCTTTCCACAGTTTCTCCCAGGAAAGCAAGGCACAGATGTTTCTGTTCTTGGATTTCAATAGCTCCTTATAAGTTCTATTTACCATCCTCCTGAACTCCCTCCCCATGCACCGTGATCAGGCACAGGGCTGCCTTTTCAGAAGGCAAGCTTGTGTCTGAATACAGACTTTAATCAGGCCCTCTTTGCTCTCCCAGCCTAGAAAATATGTATTTCCCCTAGGGTCAGGAAAGCTGGTTCTTCCATCTCCTGTGTTCTTCCCATCTGGAATAACGTATGTTCTTGGTTTTCCAGTGTTTAGGCTTTTAAAACTCAAATGCTTAGGCTCTTGCTGTCTCAACACCTTGGCTTCCAAAACTAAAGTCTTCTTTGGCATTCTAATTCTCTGCCATTTTTTTTAACCATATGCCTCTCTCTCACATGGAAACCCAAATTCTAGCAAAGATGATGAGGAATACAGAATGGACTGGCTCTCACAGTGAAAATTTGTGTTTTAGGATAAGAGAGAAAGCAGACGCACACCAGAACACAGCGTGTGAGCTGGGAGCCAAGAATGTCTAAGAAGGAAAACACAATGATTGAGGCAAGGGAATTAGAAGGAAAGCCTTGCTATTAAATATATACATAATTATTCTGGCTGATGAGTGGGGTTAGCACAAATACCATTATGTGTGAGCCAGGACAAATGACTTTACTTCTCCAAAAGAGGCAAAATAACAGCACCAACCCTTCTATTGAAAAGACTAAACAAGTTAGTGCATGGAATGCCCCCAGAATAGTGAGTGATACGAGTAAGCACTAAATAAATATCGTTGTTATTTCATTGGGTTGCTATGAGAATTAAGCATTGAAACCACTTAATAAGGTGTCTAAGATACAGTAAATCCCAATACGTTAGGTAACTAAAAAAAAAAAAAAAATCCATTAATCAAACCACATACAGGGAGTACAAAATGAAAATGGAGAAATCCACTTCTACCCCTTGCCAGGAGGGCCAGGGTTCCCAGGGACCTGGTCTTACCTGACAGCTACCCCTCTGGCAGCTAACTGCTCCTATCCATGCCTCTTTCCCCTGAGTTTCTAGGTGCAAATCCTGCTCCCATCAGGTGTAGTCTCATGGGCTTGTGAAAATTAACCTCTCTGCTTGTTTCCTTATTTGTAAAAGCACATAACAATTCCTCCTCTGAAGGATGGTTGTGAAGATTAGCAGCATCCAGTGCGCCCAGTAAACGTAAGCTCCCAGGCCATCATTCTCCTTTGTTAAGAAAGATACTGAAATGACTGGCCGTGCGGTCTTGCCAGTAAACCATATATGAAAAAAAAGAAAAGAAAAGAAAATACCTTGAGGTATTACTTGTACTTGGATTTTAATCTTGTATTGTTATTATTCTTTTCAATTCTCCCAATATAAATAAAAATCCACTCATTCGGTTTGAGCCATGTAAACAGATCCGGAATAAACAAAATGTCTGTCTCTCTTGGATACCCTGGGGTTTAACCCTGATTTATCTGGCCCTCTCTGGCTCCCGAGGCAAAGGACCGAAGGATGGAGAAAGAGGCCGGTGCTTCAAGGAGGGAGCGAGCTCTGAGCCCTGAATCCTGCAGCCCCCACCCCAGCTTTGGGTGCCAACACGAAGCCAAAGCAGCACCCGCCACCCCTTCTTGGGACAGCATACAATAGGACGTGCTTTCGTGCGCTCGGGTCGGGGCCAGGGAGCCCAGCCGCCAGCCTGCCCGGAGGACCGGCCGGCCGCCGGCGCGCGCCTCCCCGCCCAGGTCCCCTCCGAGGACAATGATCTCGAGAGAAGCGTCTCCGTCTCCGAGGCCCCCGCCTGGCGGCATCCTTCTAGGACAACTGGCCCAGAGAACCGGGACTCCGGGACCAGCCTGGAAACCACCCTCCGCGAGGCAAGGCTAGGCGTCGCGGGGAAAGCGCCCGCACCAAGCCCAGCGCCCAGCCGGCCCCGGGCGAGCCGCCGCCGTCCCCAGGGCCGCCGGCGCGACTTCGCCCGCCCCGCGCCCTCCTTCCACGCCCGGCCCCGCTCACCGGCCTCGCCATGGTCGCTCCCGGGCGCGCGCGGTTGCCGGCTTCGGCTGGAAAGCCCGGAGGCCCTCACCGCGGCGCGCCGGGCGCCTCCAGCTCAGGGAGGCGGGCCAATCCCCGCCCCGGCACGGAGCCATCGTGGCGGTCCACGCGCCCTCAAGTACTCCCCACGAGAGCCCGGCCTCACGGGGTTCCGGTTAAATTCCCCACCCTGAAACATTTCCAGTTCTTCGAGGTGACGATTGGGGAAACTGAGAGAGCACGGGGGTGGGGGATGGGGTGGGGAATACACTTTTTTCATTTTCATTTGACAGGGCAGAAAGGAAATGGGGGAGGTGAGGAGTCATCGGTTGGGCCGTAGCGCTCAGGAATGGCAACCTGCATTGTTAAGCAGGTGTGAAATAACAGGAGGGGGTGAAACCGAGAGAGAACAAAATGGAAAAGGAAAGAAAAAGGCTTTTCTTCGGGGGTCTGGGAATCGCAGTTCAGGGAGCACGGGCTCCGAGAAACTAGAAGCGCGCTGTGCTCTAGTAGGGAAAGCAAGGGGTTTTATGAAAAAGAAGGAAGGGGTGATGACATGAGGCAGATAAAGAAAATAAGGGGAAAGGGTGCTAATTTGGTGCTGACAGCCACTTCTGATAACCAGTGCTTTATTGTTGCTGTCCAGTTAAGCTGTCCCTAGTATGTGTTAACTGCCTATACTGTCTTCGTATGACCTGAATGCCAGCTGCTGTGTTGAAATTTAACTGTTTGTAAAACTGTTGTCGCTTCTGGCTCAGTTCAAGAGCTCATTAGTTGGAAAGGAAAATGGAGCATCAAGATGGATTCTCTCACGTCCAGAAATTTTACACAATTCCACACAGGCATGTCAGAAATGAAGAATTTTGAGAAATGTTATTCAGTTTCTCCAGATGTCACCTATGAAAATAAAAAAAAAAAAATGTTTTGAGGCTGAATTTAACCAACAGACGCTTTTTAAAAACAAATGCACATTTATTTTTATCCAGAATCAAATTTTGTATTCAAGCAATCAATTCTGTGATGATCTCTTCTTTCAGAGTGACTGGTTGGTTGGTTTATTTGTCTTCTTACATGGAGGAGTTTCCTTCCACTTGTTTGGCGAGGAAGATTCTTCTTATTTTAACAAGTTCCAGAGTCCTTGGCTCTTAGAGAGAGAGAAAGAGGTAAACAGATCATTGAATTATTCATCTCCTGAAATCTTCCTGTTTTCTTACCACCACCTTCTGACAAGGTGCTGGGAAAGAGCTTTTAGTTAAGGATCCGTGGACCGCAAACCTGAGAGCTGTAATTATAATGACTGGACCTTTCCACATAAACAGAAACATGACCACACATAATCAAAGGATTAAATGACTCATGGGCTGCCAAACAGGATACGTAAAAGAAAATCAACTTATAGACATAGTATAGTGACATCAAGAAGGTCAAATTAAGAAAATCAAGGAGAAAATTCTAAAAAACTTCAAAAGTGAAGAGAGACACACAAAGGAAAGAGGATCAAAGTGACCTTAAATGTCATAAGGCAGTGCCAGGTGCAAGAAGACAATGAGTTAATTTTCATATTGAAGAAAACTAACTTTGAATTCCACGTCGTCTCTTATGAACATTGCTACACAGGTATATTTAATTTTTTTTATTTTTTCATCAAATGTATCATTTTGTAGAGGAGCATGCAAACATCACAAGTATACAACTCGATGTCATAGCCAGAAGCACATCAAAAACTGCACATTCCCAGCTCTCCAGAGCCTGTCACTACCACCACCAGCCCCTCCCCCCCCACCCCTGCCCCACTGTCCTACTTTTAACCTCCTAGACTAGGCTTGCCTGTTGGTACACTTCATATAAATGGCATCAGAGACGACGTCCTCATTTGTATCTGGGTTCTTTCACTCAGCAGTAGGTTTGAAGAATTCTTCCTTGTGACTGCATATAGTTGTGATTCGTTCATTCTCTCTGTTGTAGACTATCCATTCTGTATATACGGTACACCACATTTATTTCTCTATGCTACTGTTAATGGAAATCTGTTTTCCAGTTTAGGGTTATTTTTAATAGTGGTGCTATAAACATTCTTATACGTGGCTTTCTGTGAACCTGTGTAGACCATTCTGTTAGATTATTTTTTATTTTTGCCAGATATGTCTTTTCCTTTTGCTTTATTTTTAATCTTTCTCTATTCTTTTTTTTTCCCCAAGTGTCAGATACTTTGCTGGACCTAAATTTTTAAAATCTACTCAAAGACTCTGTTCCAGATTTTATAAACAAAGTATTATACAATTATAGGATAAAAAAAGATTTCTGTAAAGGATATAATTCTCATGAAATTTATTCCATCCAAACTCTCCATGAAAACACTTTCAAGAGTATTCTAAGAAAAAGGAACATTAATCCGGGAGGATGCAACATAGAAAGATATATAGAAGGAATAAATAATTCATCAAAATTTATAATTGTCCCAAAAAGCAAGATCCCCCAAATTATAAAACCTACATGGAAGGAGGAAACGAGATATGAGAGGTAAGTGAGAATTTTGGCAAGATATACATTTCTAAGAAATTGACATTATAGGGGCACCTGGGTGGCTTAGTCATTAAGCGTCTGCCTTCGGCTCAGGTCATGATCCCAGGGTCCTGGGATTGAGCCCCACATTGGGCTCCCTGCTTGGCAGGAAGTCTGCTTCTCCCTCTCCCATTCCCCCTGCTTGTGTTCCCTGTCTCACTGTGTCTCTCTCTGTCAAATAAATAAATAAAATCTTTTTTAAAAAAAGAAAGAAATTGACATTATAAAATAAAGAGAAGTATTGTCCTTAGTAAGTTAGGGAAGAACATCAGAAGAATAGTAACAAAAGAATATTTAACTTCATAACAGCATGGGAGAAAAAAGAATATAACTAAAATGATATGAAAGTTAAAAATAAAATGGAAAAGATGTCCTATTATATCAGTTACTACAACATATACAAATAGGTTAAAAACACAAAAGATAGAAACCTAGGACACAGAAGAGTGAACAAGGGAGGGGAAAAATCCCTGCCATTATGAAGCATAAACATTACTTTAAAAAGTCTCTGGAAAAGAAAAAATGTGCTTACATAATTTAACATTTGGCAAACAAGGGAAAGATGACAATTACAATTCTTGGATAAATCTAAAGAAGCAGTTAGAGCTAATTTATCATCTTAACTATACTTATCATATACCAATGTTGAGCAAAAGAAGCAGTGAAGTCAATGAAATAAAAAGTGTAGATAAAACTAAAGGCAAAAATCAATAAAAAGGAACAAAATTGAATGACTATAAAAAGAGCTTTTTCTAGAAATTAATTAAACAAACCTATGGTAAAAATTACTAAGAGAATTGGGGTGCCTGGGTGGTTCAGTTGGTTAAGCGTCTGACTGTTGATTTCGGCTGAGGTCATGATCTCAGGGTGGTGAGATCAAGCCCTGTGTGGGGCTCTGCGCTGGGTGTGGAGCCTGCTTAAGATTTTCTCTCTCCCTCTCCCTCTGACCTTCCCCCCATCTAGAAAATTACTAAGAAAATTAGAAAAAAAGAAACAATATAAAATGAAATATGAGAAGTAGAACTGACATAACAAATAGAAAAAAATAAGACAATATTATGAACATTCATATCAATTTGAAAACACAAAGTGGATAAAATTCTGAAAATGACAAGTTGGTCATAAAAATTTAAAGACTGACACCTTAACAATATTAAGTCTTCCAATAGATGACTATAGGATATTGTTCCATTTGCTGTGTTTTCTCTAATTTCCTTCATTGATTTTTTTTAAGTTTATTTATTTTTAGTAATCTCTACACCCAATTTGAACACAAACATATGACCCCAACATCAAGAGTCACATGCTCTACCTACTGAGCCAGCCAGGTGCCCCTCATTAACATTTTATATCAGTATGCAAGTCTTTCACCTCCTTTGTTAGGTTTATTGCTAAGTATTTTATTCCTTCTTGTGTTATTGTAAATGGAATTGTTTTTCCTAATTTCCATTTCAGACAGTTCATTATTAGCGTGTAGAAACACAACCGATTTTTGTATGTTGATTTTGTATTCTGCAATTTTACTGAATTTGCTTATTTGTTCTAAAAGTTTTTTATGGAGTCTTTGGGATTTTCTACATATAAGATCATGGCATCTGCAAGCAGGGACACTTTAGGTCTTCCTTACTGATTTCCCTGCCTTTTGTTTTGTTTTTTGTTTTTCCTCCACTAAATCTGTGGCTAGGACTTCCAGTATTATGTTAAACAAAAGTGGCAAGAGGGAGCATTCATGCTTTGTTCCTGATTATTGAAGTCAAGCTTACAGTGTTTTACCACTGAGTGGGTTGTTAGCTATGGGTTTTTCATATATGACATTTATTATGTTGAGGTACTTTCCTACTTTCTATACCTAGTTTGTTCAAAGTTTTTATCATGAAAGTGTTTAGAATTTTTTCAGATGCTTTTTCTACATGTATTTAGATGATTGTGTGATTTTTATTCTTTATTGTGTTAATATGGTGTATCACATTAATTTTCAGATGTTGAATTATCCCTGAGTCCCAGGGATTAATACTACTTGGTCATCCTGTATGAGCCTTTTAATACGCTGTTGGATTCAGTTTGCTAGTATTTTGTTGAAGATTTTTGCATCTCTATTTGTCGGAATATTGGCTGGCTATTTTACTTGTGACGTCTTTGGCTGTGATGTCAAGGTAGTGTGGGCTTCAAGATATGAGTTTGGAAGTCTTCCCTCCTCTTCAATTTTTTTGAAGGCGTTTGAGAAGCATTGGCATTAATTCTTGTTTAAATGTTTGGTAGAATTCACTAGTGAAGCCATATAGTCCTGGCCTTTTCTCTGTTGAAAGTTTTTTGATTTCTGATTTACTCTCCATACTAGTCAGAGGTCTATCCAGGCTTTCTACTTTATGATTTAATCATGGGAGGTTAGATGTTTCTAGGAATTTATCCATTTCTTCTAGGTTACCCAGGCTGTTAGTGTATAATTTTTCATAATAGTGTCTTATGACCCTTTTTATTTATATGGCATCAGTCTCTTCTTTCATTTCTGATTTTATTTATTTGAGTCTT